AAAAAAAAAAAAAAACTAAACAAAGACAATTTCCTTCAAGAGCAGGACAAGAGGCTTTAGGTTGTTTAAGACTTGAAATTAACACCAAATGTATCAAAAGACACCACCTTAGAACATATAGTGTTGGCAATGTTTATAGATCTTATCTGAGCATATTATGGTAGTCACACCAGTTTAAATGCACTGATTCACCTAGCAAATCAGCCAAGTTCAACTTAGACATGCCATCATAATATGCAAGGATGGGTTAATGATGTGAAGCAGTTAAAAGGTTCATTGTATGATACCATTTTCTACTGTAGACACACAGTTCTATGGCATGGTATAATAGCTACCAAACCACGGCATCCCTACATTTAAGCCAATGGCAACATTATGAATTGGCTAGTCGTGAGAACATTACTACAGTTTCAGTGTTTTTGTAAGCTGGTGCCAAACCTAATTTTAGACAGGTTGACTGCATGCCAGTAGTAATATAAAAACCAGAAGCTTATCAAAAAAGTGACAGAGCTATTGAAAATGTGACAGAGCCATTTTTTTGTTAAAAAAATGTTTATATTGGTTGACATAACAGGTGTATACAAAATATTTCAAAGGCAGGTGTTTATTTGACTATGCTGAACAATGTTTTTTTTTTTATTGAATTGGATGAACAAAAAGACATGCATTCGTTTTTATTGATCCAAAAATAAAGTGACATTGTACGTAACTTAGTTAAATGTGTCTCACAAAGTGTAAATAAACAGGGGTCCGCTAACTGTCATGTGAGACTATTGTAATTCACAAAGAGAGAGGTATACAAGCCAAATACCTTCTCTGACATTCCAAGTAATCGTACCTATACAATTAATTTTTTTTCAAGATTTTTTCCATATGGTACACATCTTTCATGATTATTAATTTTTCAAAAAAATTCCACACTGTACAATTATGTAGCAGCTCACATACCAAATTTTTTGACAAGCATATAATTATTTCATTTTTTGATTACAAAGAGTAAGTCAAGTCCGATGACGGGTGCATTTTAAATACCAGGGAACCCTGGCTTCAGTGCTGGCTACTGAAAGAAGAAAGTAGGTCACACATTGATACATGAAAGTCATTGTAGTCACATCTGAAGATTAGCAACGGTTTGATGTAAAGAAAGAAACTTACAAGTTACCACTAACAACAGGGTCAAAGAAAAAACAAGAAAAACCATGTATTGGTCAAAACACTGAAAACGGACTGCTCAAACTGGTCATGACCGGCCGCTCACGGACGTTATAGAACCCCTAACTACACGTGCTGGGTACACAAATATGGCTTCAGTCAGATGTTGAGTAATCAATAATTGAAAAAGAGAAATATTCATTTCTGTTATTAAGACGTGCTCTGCACTTAATTTTAATGAACATTGTTGTAATATTGTACCTTAAGTGGTGCTACATGTCTCAAAAGGAGGGACAAAATCGTTTTCAATGTGGGAATTACACAATGGCACAGTCAGGATGTAACCCTGTCCATTACTATATCCATCTAAATGAACCAGCTGAAAAAAAATTTTTTTTTGTGTGTGTGTGTGCGTGGTGGGGGAGGGGGGGGGGGTGCAAGTGGAAATTAGCTGGGGACAGATGAAACTTGTGAGCAATAAGCCTGACTGGACAGGTGACCTGAAAAATGAGTGTTGAGCCCTGCAGCAGTGTAATAATCACATATAATTAATGCATAAATTCATCGATAGACATGCCATCTCATTTGAGTAATGTTATGTAGTTGCTTGCTAGATTTTACGTAATGCACTTCTCCAAGCTTAGATCACTGCTTAATTATTTTCAGGTTAAAAAACAGAATACAAATATTTTGAAAAATAAAAAAAATTCTTTCAAACCAATGGCTTTTTTTTCACAATAAACATGGAAACTGCCAACCTTTTCCATGCTGTACAATTACTTTGCACAGTACAATAATTAATTTTCAAACATTTTTCCACATGGTACAATCACTAATTTTTGAAGATTTTTCCACACAGTACAATGATTCAGACAATACAATTATTTGGATCTTCAGAGTAGAGTGTTGTAATAGTGTGTGGTTCGCAAACACTTAGGCTGTATTCCCAGAGCTTTTAGATCGATCTATCCCCGTGGGGAGTCTCACTAGATTACTGTCAGATAATCCGGCTTAAATGTCCGTCCCGCCTACTACAAGCTGTAAGGGGGTAATTAACTTTCATGTCCGCTCGGCTGACAGCTATTTAGCGTGAACCCCCAGGGAGTTAGGTAATTCTAAAGTAGATCGATCAAATATCTGGAAATGGGGTCTTAGTAGATTGACTTCGCCTTTTTACTGAAGTGCAACATATTTGACTGTACAGTGGTCAACATTAAAGGGATAATAACTTTTCATATGAGATCTATATTTCACAATAAAACATTGTGAACAACTCATAGAATAATAATATATATCCCATTGTACCACAAAAACAGCAGTTATAGGTATTATTCTGACATCTGAGCTTGTCTTTAGACCATGTGACCTCCATTGATGGATACACTCTGTTATAATCTCTTAAGAGGTTATAACAATAAAAAAAACTTTTTAGAAAAAAAACAGGGACTAACTTTGAATGTAAAAATGATTTATTAACCATTGGTAAGTATGGGAAAATTGTTGTTTACTCCAGGAAAATTCATTTTTTTGGCCAAAACAAAGAGTTATTATCCCTTTAAATGAATAACACTATTATAATATTAGCTGGGTAGTATAAAAATAAGGTATTTTGTTTGCTCGTGAATCAACTGTTGTAGTGCCCTATTTGTAATTAAATGCTGCATCAAATACTTTTTGATTCATCTAATGCCTCCCCTTCAAACCCTTTATTCCTAAATGGTCCCCTTGGTTTACACAAGCAAATCAGTAATGCAGGCAGCCAGTGTACATAAACAATCTGTTTAGAGCAGGGCCTTTAGCAGCCACAATCATATCTTCACCAATTTTTTCAGATTCAAAGCTTAACATTGGTACTCCTCTCTTCATCTTTAAAAAAATATGAGTATTTTTCTCTTTCAAGTCAAAATTTCAGATTCAGAACTTGATATTACAGTATTTTTTGTTTGTTTTTTAAATTGATTATTTTTTCTCCTTCAGATGAAAAGCCTTTGTTTTTCAATGGAAAATGGAAATGTATTCTTTTTACTTCAAAGTACAAATGTAAGAGCTTTCTCCAATTCAGTGCTACACATTGCTGTATATTTTATGTCCATCTATGAAAATCAGTGTTTTTATGGTTGTTTAAATTAACAGTGCCACGCAGTACTGACCTAATGGGGACCACAGATGCCCCCATAGCTGACTGTCCCATAGCTCCATATGGCTGTAGCTGGAGGGCACCAAGCTCCTCTTCCAACCTCTTACTGTGTGCTCTGAAAAAATAAGCACACACACACAGATATAAATAGTCCCTGCATCCTATGTTTCAGATTGTCTATGATCTCTGAGTGCGTTTTGCGGCCTACCTTGCATCTTTTTCCCGCTGCAGAGCCTGTATCAATGCCTTGTCCTTCTCCTCTTCAAGATTACACTTATCTGACATCAGACGCTGGATGGTGGCTGAAATCATTCAAAGCAGGTATATGTAAATAATACATAGGTGTGGGTACCATGCAGCTTTAGTCAATAGATATATATTTATAGAAGGCAAACCTGCAAGCCTGTACCCTCAGGAGATTATGTGCAATTTGGGAGTATTTATAAAGTCAAGCACAATTTTTTAAAAAAAGGGGTCTTTTAAAAAATCTGTATACTTCCTTCCTATCTTACCTTGTTCTTTTTCTTGTTCAGCTTGTACAGAGGCATATTTTTTCCTAAGTTCTTCAATTAATTTGTCTTTTTCTTCTATAACTTTGCTAACAGCTTCATTAAAAGATACCTGAAAAAAAAAACAATATCACTATCAGGCATACTGATAGGCAAATCTGGCAAACTGTGACAGAAGCTTTTTTAAACAGTTAAAGTAAAAATATAAACATAAAACACATGTACATTCTTACATAACCCCAAAAGTAAATGTTAGTTTTCAACTTAGCACGCTTGTACTTGGCTGTCTTTTGTCAACAGGTGTCCTACCATAACCACACCTATGGTACTTGAAAGAAAATGTTATGAAAATGAGGATAGGGGTAGTAAACATAAATTATGTTTGAGAATGAAAGCAAGTATTATAGTCAGTACATGTAATAGGGCATTCTTGAAAGTGTATGCTTAAAAGATGCCCACACTTATCTTAATCAAATATTTTCAGAAAAAAAAGTGTATGAGGAAAACTAAGATTTTGAAGGAGATTTAGATTGAGAAAAAATATTTATTTTTCTTCCAAGCCTTCCAGAAAGGAAAATATGACTAGAGTATCTCGTTTCAGATGTTCAAAATGAATGATTGTTCAAACACAGACACTGACAACATTCCAAAATTCTAAATCTTAGTCTATTCCATATCAATTTCTTTCTTATAACTTTAATTTCAAGATAAAATGTGAAACTGTGAAATATGAGACTATTTATAGAAGGAATATACTAGTTTGGAGGGTTTAAGCTCACAAAAAGAATGACTGAATCCCAAAAAATCACAATCTGAAGCACTGCCAAGTATGGGACTCTCCAGCTTAGCAGATAAATTGTCAGTAAAAACACATTTCTGCATTGAAAATTTTGGAATATTTTCCAGGCAAAGCCAGCAACATCAGAACTGAAATATGCATAATAATGGTAGGTAAGAGGATATTATTTAATTGAAGGACTGCATTTTTGAACTATGTTTGTTATATTTAGTTCTTGGAAGTTAAAACCAAATCTGCTACATGTCAGTCAAGAATGACAGGCGTGCTTACAAGCACACTTGCATGCCCATACTACACACACATTGTTTGTCATCAACTCAGCAACAGAATGTTCAATACCAACAGGAAAGCTAATTATACAAACCTGGTTTTCTTTAGCTAAGGAAGCTAAGCTGTCTTGTCTATTTTTCTCAAATGTCTGTACAAGCTGACTTATTTCTTCTTGGTGAGTTGTTTTGAGAGCATCAACTGCCTAAAATTAGAGTACGAAATTGAAAAATGTATGTCATTTCAAAAGAATGCCCGATTATATTTATCTAAGAACCTGTCACTACTGTAAAAAGGTCTTCAATTCCAGCATAAAAAACCCACTTCATCACTAATACAAAGGCGAAAAAGAATAAATTTCATTCCAGTATAAAGAACTAATTTCACTATGAATTCAATGGTAAATGACATGAATTTAATTCCAGTATAAAAAACATTTTTATTTGAGATACAATGGAAAATACCATTGTGGAAAATGGAAAATTTAACAGACCATCTTGGAAATTTACACAAATGATAGCTCCCAACTTCCATACATATATACTGCATGTTTAATAAAAGGACCAGGGGATCATGTACCTGTTTTACTGCATCAGCCTCTTTTTTGGCATTTTCCTCTTCTACCTTTTGTAAAGCAGATTTGTGGGCAACAATTTCCATGTATTTCTCAGTGTCCAAACTAAGAGCATCATCGGTCTGGGATTCATTTTCCACCCTTTCTGTGCTTATAAAATCTGCTGAGTTTATTAGTACTTCTCGGTCCCTTTCATATCTAGCTTTTAAAGCAGTAACTTCCTCTTCATGTCTTTCTTTCAATTCCTTCCTAATGGTTTCAATGTTTTCTTCTTCTTTTTGTTTGAGCTCAGACTTCATTCCTTTTAATTCAGTTTCCTTTTGGGTAGCTAAATCAGCTTTTACGCTTTCTAGTTCTTTTCTATGTTTCTCACCTAAATCCTTAGAACACTTGTCAAGAGCTGTTTTCAATTCTTCTTTATGTTTCTGGACACACTTTTCTAATTCCTCTGAATGTTTCTGGGCCAGCGCTGCTGTCTCCTCCTGCAAAGCCTTCTCCAACTTTGCTTTACCCTCCTGCTTTAGAATGTTCACTATTTCCTCCTTCTCCGCTTGAAACTTTTGAGACATATTTGTGGCTATTTTCTCATTTTCCAATTTTAATTGAGCAATCAGTTCCTCTTTTTTTCTCATTTCACTTTCAATCTCAGCAATTTCTTGTTCTTTTGTTATAACAGCAATCTCCATCTCTGAGTGAACTTTTTCAACCTCAAGCTCATGCTCCAGCATCATATCCTTTATAAGTCTATCCTTTTCCTCTTTATACTGTTTCTCTAAATCAATAATCTTTTGATCGAAGTCCATAGTCATCTGGTCACACTTCTCCGATATAGCATTGTACTGAGTCCTGTATGTTTCTATTTCTTGTTGAACATCACGTGCTGCAGTGACTTCCACCTCCAGCTTCTCTTGATACTCAAGAACAATTTTTTCATGCTCACATTTCAAGTTTTCGAGGATTTTTTCATGCTCTGTTTGCTGATGGAGGTGAAAGTTCTGAACAGTCTCGAATAACTGTCCTGAAACAGTTTTCATGTACTCCAAAAAATCTTCATGATTTTTCTGGACTTGCTTATCAACTGTCAAAACTTCACATTTCAACTTCAGAACTGCCTTGTCTGCTATGTCATGTAGTTTTGCCAACTTGTCCTCAGCAACCAGAAGCTTAGCCTTGTACGATTCCGCAGTAGCGACCATCTCTTCAGCAAGAGCTGTTTTCTCAAGCAGTAGTTTCTCTTTGTGGGACAGGTCCTCTGTCAGTTTCTCAATTGCCTGCTTGTAATTGGGTGAAGCATCTGTGGCTGAAGAAGGCATAGAGTCATCAATGTAAAAATCTGCAGTTTTGTAGTCCAAGGATTCTATGTCTGGGGAAGTAGTAGGTGAGCTGGCCATTGTTACTCTCCAATCTAAGACTGTAAGACAGGAAGAAGCGGGGCATGCTTTCAGATCTTAACCTTACAGTTATTCTCAAAAAGAGGTAAATCTTGCATGATGTTTTAACCAGAGATTTCAGTTGTGGCATGAGCAGTTAATGAGGAAGTCAAAATTCCGTCTCCCCAACTTAATTCAAAACCATAATATAATGACATATCTCACCATGCAGTTGTTCTACATAGAATTACATCAGGAGTAAATGCTTAGACACTAATCTTCATATTTTTTAAAAATATCAGGATGGTTTTTAGTTAAACAGAATATTATGTGCAACAGAAGTTAGACTTGCACCAGTTATCAAAGTTATAAGTTTTCCCAGTAATTACCTTTATCTTCTCTCTCCTCGCTGTTTCTCTCAGGTGAAGGTGTCAACACTTCAATATCATCAGTGCCTTCAGAACCAAGGTCAAACCTGACAGCGTCTGAGTCATCTTCCCCAGCCTTGCCTTCAATCACAGCATGTTCAGCTCTATCTTCCTCCCTAGGGACAACGTCAGTCACAGATAAAACATCATCACTCTCTAAGGCATCTACCACTCTTTTTGAAAGTGTTTCATCAGCATCCTCATTCCCTAGCACCTCAACACTTTCTTCTCCTGTATTGCGTTGCTGAGGTATTCTTTCAAAGTCTACAGCAACAGGAAGCACTTCTGTATCAATGTATTTAGGCAAAGTCTGATAGGGCCCCGACTCCAGTGAAGGCAAGTCTGGCTCCACCTGGACCATTTCATCCTCAGAGTCATGGGTGTCCTCCACCTGCAGAGACAGTTGATGATCTCCTGTTCCCTGCCCAGCAGGCACTGGGGGAGACGAGTCACTGAGAACAGTGATATCAGAATTGGAATGTCTACTGAATTGAAGTTGCTCCTGCAAACATTGCTGAGTTAATGCTTTTTCTTTTCCAGGCTGAAAGGCAATCCTTTCCATGAGCTGGCAAAAAATATCTGTATGAACATCTGGAATACTGAAAAAAGTTCAAGCTATGAAGCAATGGCCTTGTAATCAATTATAATATAAAACAATAAATAATGGCAATATATTTCCCTAGCTTACATAAAAAAATTATTTATTTTTAACCAAAATAATAAATATAAAAATTACAATTATGTAAATCAACCTTGAAATTAAAAAGATGCTATAAAGATAATCAGTATTTATACATTTCTTTATATCAAGCCCCTTAACCTTACTTCAGCAAATTTGTGATTTCTGGATATCGTTGCATTTCTTCCCTGAGAATTTCAACATCATGTTCTACTATCAGAGGGAGGTTGAGATCAAATGGGTCTGGCAATGAATTCTGAAATGAGAAATTGACCCAAAAAGTGAAACAAAGTATTAAAAAATATTTTTAAAGAAATTTATGTGAAAAAAACCTAAAAAAGGATATTTTTATACAAAGTAGCTATGTGTGCAACATATATTTCAGTATTTAGGTTAAATTCATGGGGAAACAGCTGAAACTTACTGCAAAGTGCGGGGGAACATCCTGGAACCCAGGGAACAGGGTTTGTAAGAAATGATGAGCTGAAAATATGACAACAAAATGTTAACTGATGTACATGAAAATTGTTCATTTAATATTTAGCTTTTGGCTAAGGTGTCATGCACTTAAAATCTTACCTATTAGATTATGCCCTTGGGCTGACTTAAAAAATGAAAAATCCTGAGTTTGTATTAGAATGATTCTTTGAAAATAGAACTTCAGATCTATTTTACGACCTTTCTGGATATCTAAGTTCTCATCATTAATATTGTAAAGATCCACTAAAGTGCAGATGTTACATACTGTATATACAATTACACTTATAGATGACATGCTTTAAACAACTTACACAGGAACACTGCAAATTCTTTTCTTCTAGCAATTTCTTGTGTGTGTAAATTATTAGCATTTTCGCAAAGTGCAGAGGACCACTAAAGAAAAAAGTGTGAATTCTTTAGACATAAATTTCACATTATGAAAAGGTCTTTAAGGATTCATTGTAATACCTTACACAAATTAATTTTACTACAGAAAAAATACAAATTACAAATAATAGATAATTTCTAGCCACACTAGCATTTCTTAGCTGACAACAGTTTTCATCTTTAAATCTCATACTGATAAAAATAGTATTACAAAACTTGCTTCTTCATTGTGTAAATTACCAATATTTTCAAAGTGCAGAGGACCACTGAAGAAAAAAGTGTGATAAATACAATATCAAAACTTTTTATTCAATATTTCAACCTATTCTATTCTGTAATCATTACTAAGACTTACCTCTAAGAAACGTGCATTGAACTTCTTCCTTCTCACAACTTCCACCACAGCTGCTGCATATACTTTAGGGGCGTCATACATCTGATTCAGTATCTCCATTCTTTTCTTTAGTCTTCTCAACGTTTCATGTTGCACTATCAGTCGGTTGTCTGTATCCACTATGGTTTTTTCAACATACATGATCCATCTGATACAATAATATAACAAAAGGTGTGTATAATATTCTAGCAAACTTAATGGGTATTTATGCATTCACAAGAAAAGCAATAAATGTGACACCTGATCTTTTGGCTACTTTAAAAAAATAGTTTTTAAGGAAGGTGGGTAAGGTACGAACAATCAACTCTTGCTTAATGTGATAGAAATGAACAATGAGCATTTTGTACAACATTGCATCTAAAATAAGGAAGCAAGCTCTCCTATTCCATTATCTTGTTTTCTATAAACACAGACTACAGCAGATACAGCTGCTATACCTCAATCTGGTGTGCAGGTTAATTGACAGTTCTTCTTTGGCTGCTGTGCACTTTCTCATGATTTCCCTCAGTTGTTGGTGATTTTTCAACATAACCTTTAGCTGTTTTTGGTGGCTGTTACACAGGTCTGGTAAAACTGAGGTGTCCCTTAAATTACTGGCTCTATTTTGGTTTTGAACAAATCCCTGAAAAATGCAAGAACTCAATGGTAACTAATATTTTATCGTTTCATTAAAAGGCGTTGACTTTCTTCTACAATTTAAAAATGGACATTCTGATAGAATTTTCAGTAAAAAAAAAACAAAAAAAAAATTAGTTATTATTTTCTAGCAGGCTCAGATTGCTCAGATCACTATGCACAGTTAACAACATTACATGATTTTCCCTAGTAAAATGCATCAGTGTTGTCATGGTGTCACTTCTACCACCTGTTGTTTACCTGAGCCATATCTTGTTGTTCTTGTACCACCCGCCTGGCTCCATACATCAGCTGGTCCAGGCCATACAGCCGGTCCTCCAACCCTTTCACTTCCTTCATACTGGGATTGTTCACCTGATCTAGAATATCCCTCACCTCCACCATGATCTGCTCAAGATTCTCAGACTGGAACTTATGTTAAAAGTACAATGAAAATGGAAAATGTATTAAACCAGTGACAGTGAAAAATACATTTTATCAAGTTGGGGGAATGTACAGATATGTGTTGTGAAATAATTTCTTAAAATTGCAGTAATTTGGCATAGAGCCTGTCTACATCAAATTTAAGATCATTCAGTAATGCCTGAGCTGTTTATACTAAAGTGAGCTCTCAATGCCCCATGTGTCTATTTTAGGACACCCTTGTTTCATTCAGTTATACATGTAGCTGTGGGGCAGATACCATACAATGACTAGTTTCAACCTAACCACATATATGGTTAAAATATTCAGTCTGTCTACCTGTTCTATAGCACCTGCAGCTTGCTCAACCATCTGCTCAATGTTTCCTCTGGGGTCCTAATAAAGATCAAACAGAAATAAGTTTTGAGTTGTAGTATTGACATAGTAAAATAAAAATAGCAACTTTATATCATATTCGGATCACAAACAAGACTGGAAAACCTTTTTGAAAGAGGTACTGGAATATATGGGCATCAGAGTTACTTTTGAGAAAAATTCTGAAAATATATTCTAAAAGATAGACTGACACATTCCACTAAAAGTTCCTTGGTAGCTAATAAGGTTGATTTTAGTCACAAGTCTAAAAATCTCATGTATGAGTAAAATAAAGTGGGTTAAAGTGATGTTTACACAGCATAAATATTGAGAAAATTGCTTAACAATTTGTTTGTCACAGTCGTGTATACAAGTTTTTGGTAAAGAAGTTGGTGAACAATTCCTATATAACCTGAGCCTTAATCCACTCTAGCAGAGTCCTTGGTCGAGGATTTTCAGTAAGCAGCCCAGCTTCTCCTTCAAGAGATGGTACCAAGCATTGCAAGAGTGGCGTGTGGGAGAGTTCTTCTAACTGGTTAGGAAACCTACAAAGAGTAGGTAAAGCATATCATTGCTATAAAACATTAAACATTAATTCTACCTTAATTCTTTACTTACAAAGAAACCAAACTGCAATTATTCAAAAAAGATGTTTAGAAGGGGATGAGATCCTCAACTTATACTTCCATGCCCTTGGAAAATACAATGTTAAGTTGCTTTCTTTATACCCATTTTTCAGACATTTCAAACATTTCAGCTTTGTTATCTAATGTTTTAAATACAAATAATCCAAATTTAAACAGTTTTATTGATGTGATTTGAAATATTCTTTAGTTCTGGACATGTCAAAAAAAATCATAATAATAAAAACACTTACGTGTGAATGACATCATTGTATTTATCTTTGTTCTCCAAGAAATCCCGATAGTGTTGCTGAAACACCCCTGATCTTGCCCCAAATGACCTTTAAGGGGAGAAAAAACAGAGTAATGCCTAAATGCTCACAAGTAACTGATATAATAATCAGATAACCTAAATTTTAATAAAAGTATATATTTTGCAGTGGCGGATCCAGAGATATTTTCTGACAGTCTTCCAAATTATCTTTGTTGCACCATCCCCCATTTTTGACCGTCTTCCGACAGAAAAAATTAGATACCTGTCAATGTAAACTTGAAAATCTGACCGTCTTCCGGAAGACCCAGAAAACGGCCTAAATCCGCACCTGTTTTGGACACATGACATACATGCATGCTAGTGTACACACTCTCTCTTTTCCTCTGACACTCACACACACACACCTGTATACACAACTGGAAAAGTAAACAGCTGAGAATAAATTATAAAACAAGAACCTTTTCAGATAGTAATTGAAACCTACTTAGAAATATCATCCAAGTTGGCAATGACGGCAGCCCATCCCTGGTGTTGCAGATGTTGTTCATGGACCAAGTTTTCACATCCCTTACACAGATCCCTTGCCATTTCATGGAAGTGCTGCAAATCAGTGGGTAAATACATTGTCAAATAAATTAAGTTAAAGGTGTAGTAAAAATATTTGAAAATGTCCCAAGCATTTTTTTTGTCATAATATCCTGCAAAACTATTTATCATTCCTAATTCAGACCTACAAATGATAATATCTCCAAAATGAAAGTACCTAATGTCAATATTTCTTTCTTGAACATTAGGAAGACATGATTCATGTAGAACCAAGTTAAGAAATGGTATAAAACATTGATTTCAAGAGCAGGTATGGTTCAAGCAATGTATTGAGAGTAACAGAAATTTGCTTTTTCCTCAGGAAAAATGAAATTATGTTCTCAATTCCCATGTAGAATACCTTTAATAAATTTTTTGCTACTTATAAAGCATTTATAGCACATATGCTTCACACATCTATTCAACAGTTAAAATGATGCTGGTTAATGACATGCCTTTCATCAAAGTTTTACTACTTGCATCATTTGAAAACAGAGACTACCAGTATGTACCTACCAAAGCTAACTGTGCCCTAGACACAACTGTTCCATATGTTGGAGGCATTTGCAATGCTCCTTCCACCTGCTCCCTCATCTCTAAATCTGAACAAAATAGGTCATATATGAATATGAAACTTTGAAATTTCAGACTGATATACATAACATGAAAAACAAAACCGTAACTCTACACAGATATCTGATAATTGCCCTCCATCCTTATTTGTGATTTAAATTTACAACACATTATATCATTATTTTTCACAAATCATTTCTAAACATAAATATTAGAAAAATAATTTTAACTCTGACAACAATTAAGTCACTCCATTTATTAAAAAATACTAAGTAGTTTCCAACATGTCGGAGGAGTATACCTGTTCCTAGATAAACACTGGGTGATGGAGGTGTGGCTGATTCAATTGTACTTTTACTAAACAAAAAGATGGGGTTGGTGTCCTGTAAATCACATAAATGTATATCACATTATTGACATACTAAATATTACACAAATTATTTTCTTTCATTTGAACAAATGGGAAGTTTATCTACACACACTGTTTTTTCATACAACTCATGAAAAATGTCGTAAATCAGAAGCTGAAACGATCTCAATATTTTCATTTTTCATTAAAGAATATGATACCAGTAAATTGTATCATTACTTACTACACCATTCCGATAAATGATTTTTGTTATCAAAGCAACATCTTAAATACCAAAGTAATTACAGTCATGTGTGAATGATCTAAAATATAACTTACGGTTCCAGCACTATAACTGCATACTCTAGCATCAGGATCCAGGTTCTCTCCACCACTTATAAGCAAGACCTGCTTATCCTCTGGAATGCCCAGTCTAGAAGCAATGTGCTGGCGCAGATTGGAGACACTGAAATCAGATAATAATTCAAAATGTCCATTCAGTGTTTATGATCATATTAATTAAGAAAAAGCAATTCAATATACAAGTCAATTTCAAATTATGTGAAGAAACATTCCAACAGTTATTTGCACACAAATACTTGCAATTAAATGTCAATAATACATCTGATTTTGTCCATAAGCCTTAGCAAAAAAATTTATATATTGCATACAATCAAAATGTCCCAGAAAGCTTTAGTTTACCTATCCATTGCCAAATTCATCTCCATGGGGTACATTGTACCAGTGTCGACTAGGAAGATGTACAGCATACTGCTCTCTTTCCTTGGCACTCCAAAAGAATAAGTGCATTCAAATAAGGCTGCTTTGAAAAAGTCAGCACCATTTGTTTCCTGTCATCCAGTGTTCTGGATCATTTCTGAAAAGACGTTTACACAAGTGCACTCTCCTTGAATAATCAGACTGTTCATACACTGGGGTAGCGTTAGCAATTTTTTTTTCGCTTAGCCAAATCACCACTTTTTTGTCAATTTGTTATCCAAATGGTTATAATTAGACTAAAACAAGTCAAACCAAGCCCTTTTTGTTGAGCCAATTTATGTCAGTTTAAGTATTTCAAGATTTGGCTAAATTGGCGAGTGTTAGCGCTACCCCAGATACAGTGTATCAGTTACTCTAATGGCTTAAAATTACCAATATGAAAAGAGGTACACTGAAACAGATCCAAACACTCATTCCTGTTCTATATAAAAAATATAATTAAAGTGAAAAATGAATAAACTGCACACTTACAGTAAATCAATCACTTAAAACAAAAGCATTTCATTTACTATGACTAATATTATTCATATTTAAGTTATTTCCAGAGGTTTAAAATCTAATACATAGTATTCACGAAAATGTCTACTTCATCTATGTCATCATATGTGACATTTCTTTTTAATTTTCATTTTCACAGTTACTTTACACAAAAATGTTTTCTAGGTGCAAAAAGTCACAGAAACGCAGAAACATACGATATGAGATTATGAAACTGATTATTATCATAAAAAGTAACATATTAGATTTCATATTCTATTCCTTTGCATGCAACAGTTTGACATTCATAGAAACGCAAATTTTAGTCTTATTTTTACATGATATAAGATATTCAAACAGCTCACTATTTTATATACTTCCTTAAAGCACTAAATATAAAGCTGACTCGTCACAAAAGTCCTTGCTCGAAACCTGTATTTTGATTCACAAAAATGCATTTCATAGTCATCGTTGGTCTATGCCAAGAAAACATTTAGCGAACTACGTACGTGCATATTATTGTCCTTTGTCATTTTCTGCATAAATATGTAATCCATCCCATTTTTCGAGGGAAAAATTTTCATGTGGAAAACAAAACAAATATTTTGCTACAGCTGAATAAGAATAGTCTCCAATATGATAGATGGCGCATCAACCCAAGGCGTACAGCATAGATCTACAGATAAATAAAAAAATAACAATTTTAGTTAATTTATAACCAACAAAAAGCCCATTGTTTATGAAATTTGAATACATCTGTACAATAAATCTTCCTAACCAGCTTCAAAACAAAATCAATGACCCGTTCAAGGATAAAGGTCTTGTCTTCCCTTGAATTTTGACATCCGGGGAACTGTTGGCAAGCAAGAACGCCTCGTGAACTCTTTGTTGATTGGGATGTTAAACTAAAAAGTAAGTGTATACAGGTAATAATAAGATAATATTCTTCATTGATCCTTTCAGTTTCAATAAATTGGGGATTGATAGTTAGATCTACCCTTTTTCTTTTGGTTTGGAATATATTCTTGATTTAATGAATGTCAGTTTTTCTTCCGAGTAACGAGGAAAGAAATCTGACACCCTATGTTAATGATATTTATTATCTCTTGGCATTTATGTCATAGATCTCAACTCGAAGTTCTAAATAATTACCACAAGAATCGTTCCCAGTAATAAATGGTTTAATTTAGAATGAAACAGTATTGTATGCCTTGTTTGTAGACTACTCAGCGGGCACCTTTACAAGATCAGCCGGCCATGTCTGACACCAAGGATGAGAAAGGGGAAGAGCAGCAGAAGGTGTATGGTGGCTGCGAGGGACCCGATGCCATGTACGTTAAGTTGGTGTCTTCAGATGGACATGAATTCATAGTGAAGAGAGAACATGCCTTGACATCGGGAACTATCAAAGCCATGTTGAGTGGCCCTGGTATGAACAGCTTTCTACCGTTTCTTACAAAAATTAAGTGGTATGATATAATTTTCATAAAGTATGTCAAGTTCATGTCTAGGTCACTTACTAACAAGGCACTAAAGTATATTAGAATATAACAAGTGTTAATGAATTCAGAAAAAAAATATCTAGGTTTGTAAGAATTTGAAAAAGTGGTTGGCTTGGTAAAGAATGACAGAAGATAAAAAAGATTGTCATTGTTATTATTTCTAGTCCTTCTACCTTTCTATATTTATCTTTTTTAAGGAAACATATCAAGTGTGTCATTATTATTATTTCTAGTCCTTCTACCTTTCTATATTTATCTTTTTTAAGGAAACATATCAAGTGTCTGTTAATTTTTTTCAGGTCAGTTTGCAGAAAATGAAACGAATGAAATTAATTTTAGGGAAATACCGTAAGTATTTATAACATAAGGAATCCCATTACAGTTACCTGGAATTATTCCGTGTTTAGCTAGACTCCCTGAAGGATTTGTCTCACAAAACTAGTATATGAAATTATCATTTCACACATATCCTCCCATTCTATTTCATTGTTGATTATTAACCCATAAGGACACCTTGTAGTGGCAATTTTACTGGCTTCTTCTCTGGTTATTGTTGGGGAAATGGGACCCTATTGATAAAGACCAAAACATTTTGAAAAAAAAATTAAGAGATTACGAAGAACACACAGAGCCAGAAAAATAATATACAATGCAGTTGCTTTATTTTGACTTTTGCTTTTCATTTTGTTCTTAGATAACATCTGTAAGAGTGGAAATAACTCATTTGAATGTAGAGAGCAAAAATAGGCTCTATTCCCATAGATTTTAGATCGATCTATCCCCGTGGGGAGTCTCACTAGATTACTTTCAGATAATCCGACTTAAATGTCCGTCCCCCCTACTACAAGCTGTAAGGGTGTAATTAACTTTCGTGTCCGCCCGGCTGACAGCTTTATAGCATGAACCCCCAGGGAGTTAGGTTGATCTAAAGTAGGTCGATCTAATCTATGGAAATGGGGTGATAGATGCTTTCTAAGTGTAAAATTTGTGCAGCCTTGGTATGTTCAATTTAAAAAAGGAAGGCACGTAGCCAGAGGGGGGTTGGGGGGGGGGGTTTAGAAAGAACCGCCCTTTTTGTCAGGAAAGGTCCATTCTGAGTAAAATTTGATTTAAGTACACAAAGGTTTCATTGTAATAGGTCCCCTTTTTCAGAAAAAGAACCCCCCTTTTGAAATTGCTTGCTATGGGCCTGATGATTGTTAAATGCATTCTTTCTCTTTCAGCCAATATAGGGCATCACAAGTAGAGCTAAAAATAACACCATTTCATGTTTTTTTTTTATTTTAGATCTCATGTCCTGCAAAAAGTGTGCATGTATTTTACATACAAAGTGAGGTATACAAACAGTGCAACTGAAATTCCCGAGTTTCCCATAGCTCCAGAGATTGCATTGGAACTACTCATGGCAGCTAATTTCTTGGACTGTTAGATATAGCAGTTGTTTATGTGAAAGAAAAACATCTTTGAATTAGGAAGCTTTAAAACTCAATTAAGGATAAACATCTAGTTTGCTGTGGATTAGCTATTGATATTTCTTTATTGGTTAAATTGTGTAGTTAGTGCACGTTCACACATACATTATGAAGCAGTGCTTCATTAAAAAAAACAGTTGTGCATTCAACAGCAACAGATTTTGTTGTTGATTTAGTAACTTTCCGTTTTAATAAATTAATGAGCTAATGTGTTTGATATTTAAACAAAGAAATATATGAATCATCTGAAATAAGTATTCAAAGTGTATTGTACAATATCCTGTGCTGCTATTTTATTCATCTTTTTGTATAAATCTCTCTTAAGCTCAGCTGTGTTCTCATTTTTTCCTTTGATTTTGGGGAGGGGAATGGTAAAACATTTAAAGCTGGTTTCTATCAGATTTTCACATAGGGTGGCTAGATCGAAATCTTCTATGACGTGAAATGTATTTTGTAATTTAAATTATAATTGACATTTGGACATCAAGGTAAATCAAAGTTGTAATAATTGAAAGAAAATGCATTAAAATCCTTAAAAACTCCGATACCACAAGTTTTTGTATTGTATTCTGTTGTTACATAAATAGTGTAAGTTATTGGGATATTTATTCAATGCCAAGTATACTCTAGGGCTGGCATTTTTACTAACTAGTAGACCTGAAATGACTGTACCTTTGTTGACGTTTAATAAATGGATTATAATAAACAGCTTTTGTTAGTGTAAATTTATTGTTCAAGTTTGTTAGTTATAACTTTTTTTTTGTACAGACCATTTTGGGCAATGGTACACCTTCCATATTACTGCAGTAACATGATTTTTTTTTTTTTGCTTCAATTGTTTATTTGAGCTTTGCCGTTTCAACATCTAAAAAAACTGAACTTTTGTTTTGCTGCAGTAAATGTTCAAGATGTTTAAGATAATCTGATATTCAAAAACCTAAACAGTTAAGAATGCATCTGAAGCAAGAAGATGTCAAATTTCTGCACAAACTCAACTGAAATTCCACCATATAGTTTCAAATAGCACATCGTAAGGAAAAACCATAATGTTTCATATTTCCTGAAAAATGACAATTGATCTTGTATTTTCTGCTTTCTTTCTGTGCTATATATATATATATATATATATATATATATATATATATATATATCCATTGGTCGTTTCAGTCATCTTGATTAACTAAGTAGGCAACTGGGAACACAGCTACACCCATACATGGGAGTGATGACTTCACTATGCATGCACAGTATTTAGTCATTAAGCATACTCTCACCAACTGAAGGGACAGAGTAATTTATGTCGAGAAATTTGAAGAAGGTGCAGTTTTAAAGGTATTTTTTGGCTGAACAAGGGACTAATTTGGTTTATCAACTTTGTTTGAGTCATATAAGAAACTAGTAGAAGTGGTTTGTATGCCTCATGAGGAATCCACACTCACTCAATTCATAACGTTAAGACTGACCATGACCATGGTTACTTAAATGTGTACAGGGTTGTATGGGTTTAATCTGTTAGATCTATTTATCAATTTGAGGGTTGATAGCTACAAATCTGTGCTGAAGTAATGGAATACTGCACAGAAATCTTACATCCAACACTCTTTGAAACAATTAAAAGCACTGTTCTTCAAGTAATGTGAAAACACCAATTTCTAAATGCAAATGACAAACACCCAGCTTACTCATTCAATTATTCACATAATTTATAATTTTTATTACAATTTACACCCAACAAGACATCATCACCTTGAGTCAGCTTGAGAGTTACAAATATTCAGGGTTTATCTGGCAATCCAAATATGGGTGTTGTGTTAATTTCACCCTCTTGGCACCTTTGGTGCTTCTTTTTCCAGATTTTTTCAAAATGTCCCCCTTCATCACTGCACCATGCATCATCTCAGTGCAATGTTTTTTAAGCAACTTAAGTTGTATATTCTAGCAAAAATAAATGAAATAAAGAAATCACAGTAAATATTTTTACAGTTTGTCTTTGTTTTTTCTGCATGTGTTCAACAGCACCATATACACTTGAAAATGACCATGAATTCAGAAAGATGTTTGATTTCATTGTTCATCAAGAAAATTTCAGAGGTTTAGCAGCTCCTTCATTGGCTAGATGATCTGCTGCTTCATTGCCTTCAATGCCAACATGTGCCGGTACATGCTCCTGAAAGTACAAATAATCATTTAGAACTTCAGTGCTATATAAAAATGCTATTTTAATGTAAAATGAAAACACCACATGCAAAAATGTCAGTTATTATATACCTTACATGCAAAAATAAATAAATAAATAAATAACGGTAAAGTTGCTACCTGCTCAAAAGGAAGATGTACAGTTAGAAATTGTAAAGCCAAGAATTAAGGATAAGTAATTACCCATTTAATGTGCATTCCTTCACTCACTCTCTCCAATTCTAGAAAATCATCTTTGTTCAGTACACCTGCTCCTTTGGCAACCTTCCAACCATTGCTTCTCCATTTTTCTATCCATTGTGTCATACCTGAAATGATTGCACTGGGAAGATAATTTCAAACAAAATCAAACCAAATACAGGCAGTGCTTGTCATACAGCATATGCAGGACAATGGTTAAATAGTCTGGTTGCTGTAAAATATTTTTAGTATTCAATCACATTTTCATTTTTGAGGGGAACAAGGATAACACTGGTAGAGTTTCTTTATTAATTATGTATTAATGAGTTTTAAGCTGTCAAAAAAATAAATAAATAAATAAATACATAACTTAATCAAATTTATCTTGAAAGGCACTTACTATTTATAAGGAACATGCTATCTGTGCGAATGATAACATCATGTTTTCCCATCTCTTTAGCCTGTTGTATTGCCCTTACTGCTGCCTGAATTGTATTCAACAAGAAAGAGTCAGGAAAGAAGGATAAGAAAAGATGAGGTTAAATGAAAAACTAAGATGAAATGATATCACCAAAATGGTCCATGATAACCACTTACAAGTGTTATGTTCTATACCCTGTATCTTGCATGTCTGGATTTAGTGTGCATGTTCCAAAAATTCTAAGGTACATTAGTAAGAGTGTCACTGGTCTAAGCAATGCTCCAAAGATAAATTGTTCTGAAAGTTACTTTAGAGACATCCTCATTTAGGTTGAGACTAAAACAGCTCAAGGTGAACAAAGATGAAAACACTGGAAGCAGTGTAACTTCTGTCTGCTGTGATGCAGCCCATTTTGTGACATATGACTGTGTTAATTACTTCATATGAAAAATGTACTTACAACTTACATGAATTTCAGCTCTGTTATTTGTCTGTTTTCCAGGTAACCTTTCAGACACATTCCTTTTATCCAATAATGAAATAAAGAAATAGACAAAAGATGAGTAAATAAATGAAAGAGAATCAAAAGAAAGCGGAACTCTCTAGGTTCAAAGGGAGTTTATTTCCCCCACAACAAGTGGTTTCTACAATCAAATATCCCAATAATATTCTTAACTGTTTTCATTCATCAGTCTACAAACTTTAGCATTAAAGTATTTTGATATTTATAATTGTGTGTGTGTGTGTGTGTGTGTGTGTGTGTGCGTGCGTGCGTGTGTGAGTAAGTGTGTGTTCATAATTATCAGCATAAAACATCAGCTATGGTGTTTTTTTTTTGACATTTATTTTGAGGCACCCCCAACTAACTTTCTAACTCACATAGGATTATCAGGACCCCAGTATACTCCTATGCCAGCTCTAGCATTCTCTTTCCCATTGTTGATACATGCCCCATCAGTGTAGACAATCACAACAGAGCCTGTATCTGAATCTAAAAAATAAAAGCAAAAGGTGCAAATGCTAGATCAATAATAAAACAAATCTTTACATTTTCTAAAATCTTCTAAATTGCATCATAATTATATTATAACATAGTGTATCTATAGAAACAAAAGACTTGACTGAAACTGACCTTTTAAAAAATATCTGAAGAAACATTATTTGAAGAAAAAAGAAGAAAATTTAAAGATATAGATTAAAAAACCTCAGTTACCACCAAACTCTCCTTTCTTCATCTTTTTATATTCTGGTTCCTCACTTGATGTTGATGGCCTTTTGCTTCCATTGCCACTATCTTCTTGATCTATCACAAATGACAGTTCTCTAGCCTCAGTTTCAAGGCGGTTCACATTTCCCAAAAAGACTTGCATTTGCTTCTGTGCTAGGGTAGATAGCGAACGTCGACCAGGGGTTGTGTCTAGATTGACTATAAAATATTGTGAAAAGTTCAATCACCATGTACGGTCTGCAAAAAGTTATATGGCTAGGAAAATAAGTCTTGTGATAAAATTTCACTTTTATGGATAATAAATTCATATTATATATTGTATCCCTTGAATATTCTGATTTTAGTTCAAGATTATCAATCTCTACTGTACAAACATTACTATCTGTACTGCCCCTTTCACTTCACCTACCTCTGCATCCAACCAATGTAGTGGTCAGCAAATTCAACTGCATTTTGATGTCACCCAGACCAGAACTTGAGCCTGAACTTTTTGGGGCAGTGGAGTGATGTTGTGCATTGCTGTTGTATCCTGGCAATTATGAATAATCATGAGACTGGGTTTTCTTACATTTTAAAATTACTGTATGGAAAAGCACATAAAATGAGCATTTGAAGAGCAAGAGAATCCAAATTTCATAAATAGTTTTAAAAAGGTCTTAAAATTAACAGGGAAGTGAGCGGTAGCAGTATTCATAAGTCATACACTATAGCAGTTGACTATTTTTTCAGTCTATAGAATGCTATGTGCAGATCTAGAGTGTATAGAATGCTGTCTGAGGGCTACAACCTGTAAAATACATGTATAAATAGTTGTTACAGTAAGAGGGGTTGAAATGCCCACACCTTCCCAATCAATTCACTATAGTTAACCCTTTAGGATGGTGGGACCATCTCTAGTGATAAGGGTGCTGGCTACAGCATAGAATATCCTTACTACACATGGATAAACACACAAACTAAACATTACATACCCTTATTTGAACTGGCATCTGCACCATGAACAAAATCCCATGCAGCTGCCTTGGTATCAAATTTTTTATACCTTGCATTTGGAAACCCTTTTACCTGACTTTGACATTCTGGCCTGAAATATGGCAGTGATATTATATTAATGTTAATAATGAAAGTGGCACTGTAACCCTAAACTAAAACTTAAATGTCAATTTGAGACAACCCGAATACACAGTCATTTTTCTGCTTTAGTGACCGGCAAATGCTCTATAAATAAGATGAGCAAATGGCCTCAAGCAGTCAAATTTTCTTGAAAAAATCAAACACTTTGCACCTAACAGAAACATGTTGTATATGTTTCGTTGTCTCATCAAGTTATAAAACAACATTTGACACCTTGAGATGGAAGCTGGGGGTTGCAAGTAAACAGTCACAATGTCTGTCCAGTATGCAATTTTCCTTGGAAATTTAAACAATTTTCCCATTATCACCAAGGTATACCCTAGTATACAAAATTAATGTGTAAGCACCCCTATTGAGGATTTCTGACTCGTACTATGTGCCAACACATGAAACCAAAGGCCTGAAAAATAAAAAAATGACAACAGTTTGGGCATCCACCATGATGTGGGAGCTCTCAAATTTTATCTTACCTCTCATCTCCTCGACTCGCACATTCCTGTAAAGCCAACAAGTTTTCCCAACAGTAAGGTAAGATTACTCTGCTTGGCCATCATGAAATTTAGTAACCACCAAATTAAACCAAAACAGACTTCTGTAGGCATGAGGTCATCTTCATCATCATTTCTCTCTGTCCCGTGTGGGACATAAGGCCACCAGGCACGAGGTACCGCAAGTCAAATAGCCAGAAAGCAAACTACTGCACAGAATGGAGTGCATTATAAATTGCATGAGCAACATGATTATTGGAGAGTTTGTTTCTGGGGTTCTACCTAATTTCTTTTATAAAGAAGTGTGTTTGTTACTGCCGTTCCCCATATTAACGTGTTTATGATTTCACAGTGAATCATAATACTGTGACTATTTTGATTGAATAGGTATGCCTTGGAGTGAGGGAAGATTGTGAAAACTTCAAGGAAAGTTACATTCTTGCTGTAGAAATAAATAACAGACTAACAGTAACACTCACTGTGTGTCTTTCGCTGTCTGATTTAAGGTACAGTACATTGTACATTGCACGTGTCAACCAGAAAAGAAACAATGGTATATAATTTCAGATCATGCCTGAAGGAGTAAATGTCGGATGTCGAATGAAATGGAAATACGTTGTGTCTGAACTGTACTTATGTGTAGTCACACACAGTAACACAGTAACACCAACAGTAATACTGACAGTACTAAAAGTAGCACGTCCTGCCTCCCGACCCTAGTCCTGATACAGTGATACGTACCAAGTATTGTATACTCCTGGTCTCTTTCCAGTTCTTACTGCATAGAATGGCATTTTATTTAAAAATGTTTTGAGTAAGTGCTGTCTAGTCCAGGTGGACTGTTTTAACATAATCACAAGCAGGTGACCTCTCGAATAAACCCTGAGCTGTTTACGGTGACACACACATTGGTCACAACAACTCCAATGCCCTGTACGATATTTGACTCTATTTACAAAAGAAGTCATGCATTCATCTGCAAGAGGAGCTTTTCGGTCGAATTTCGATGATTGATCATGTGTTTCTCCAAAATTGCGTCTAATCGCTTCTCAGTAATTCTAAAGAACTGCCATTGCTAAAAGATAAATGATTCGATCACTAAGTACCTAATTCACTTACATGTAGATTAGAGCGAGATTTTTATTTCTAAATAAGGGGGATGGTGCAGGCAGGGGAGCTTATGACTTGCGCAAAAAAATTTTTTTTTTGCTTGCTTGTGCGTTTGTGGGTTTGTGAGTGAGTTTGTTTGTTTGTGGTAAATTGTTGTCCAGAGATTTTATTTCTTATTTCAAATTTTGTTTTCGATAGATTCTAGAATGAACTGATTTGATATTTAGTGCAATTAATTAATTAATTACGTACAGATTTTGATAAAATTTTCAGAATAAGTCACAAATGGGCCAAGGGAGAAATATTTTATTTTGTGATGATTAATTAATTAATTAATTGATAAATTAATTGCCTCGTTTATTATTTTTGCGAATAAGTATAAAACTGTTAATTAAAAAACAGCCACATATTCATTCAAACATGAGCCTATCATATATCAAAGGCTCGTGTTTGTGTACTCTATAATTTTGTTAATGTATTGATTTTAAAATCTCATTTTGCAATTTTCCCAGTTGATTTGCTCTCTGAGTAGTTTCATTTTATGCTTTTTGAATCTCGTGTTAAAAGCAAGTCAAATGCCCACTTACTGCACTTCTATTCAGTAAACATGTTATTAGAATACATCGAAATACGCGATCACGTACGAAGGCTAATGACAACAGTCATCGTGAAGGCATAACTCAAGTCTTAAACTAAATTCAGGAAAAAAAGCTATAATGAACAGACCTCCAATGAAAAGATTGTTAGGACGTCTCAGTTATAATGATTTACCTTAATCTGTTAATTATGCATTTTATGCTGTAGAAAGAACTGTCATCAACTTTAAAATAATGCTTTCAATTAAAAGGTAACTTAAAATTAGTCTTAGTTTAAATGTATTAAGGACTCTAGTAAATACGCTTTAATATCTCTGGCTATATAGAGATAAGCTGACCATTACAATTGGCATGAACTGGAAGAACGACCCATGATACCAGCAAGTGCAGACTGTTAATACACAAGTTCCCCAAATTTGCAGCATCAAAGAAAAAGTTTCCACCACGCCTGAGAAGAGATCAAGAAAGAATGAAAACGGGGCTGTGAAGGAGTCCGACAAGTAGCAGAACAGAAAGAAGAGGAAAGCAGTTTAAAATCATGTATACATATGTGAATCAAAATTGGTTTGCAATACCGTGCTATAGAATGCACCAGGCAGAGTGCCAGCACCGGACGATGTGCCAGAAGAATCCGTATTTCTTTTCATGAGTGCGACTCTGTCAGATAAACTCTAAAGATCGAATTGAAGAAACTCAGAGCAAAATTAAAGGAACCAGAAAATGTAAGAAAAGAACTTTATGGAAAGAAGCAACAGTTAGCGAACTAAACAACGTAAGAAAAAAACTATTTGAAAAAGAGCGACTTCATTTTTTTATAAAGCAAAGTAACATGTTGTTCACGCCTCTCCTCATAGGTTAAGCATTTTAAAATGTCCATGAGAATATTTGCAGGATCAATATGGTTATATTAACTTCACTCGAGGGCCTATCTGTTACATGTGCTCAGTCAATTGACTTAGGGTCTTGTGTTTTGATCCAAACAGACGAAAAGAAATTGCGTAGCCGAAAGCCACTGCTTTGATTGTTGCCAAACAATAAAGAACCTGACTGCTTACTTGTCCTACTCAAATGGCTGCTAGTTCAATTACAATCATCAATGCTCTTTCGAAAATATTGACAATGCTTGTTCAAAGAAATGTCTTGTTCAGCTAAGACCATTAATAAAGAATTAAATAAACACAACAACTGATCGTTTCATTCTTTCTTTTTTATTTGTAAAACAGTCTTATTCGAATATCGGCCCTGTAGGTTGAAACGTGCAAGACTGAAAAAGACCGGGGTTCAGCATATTGTGATACATTTTATCAAAAACTACTGAAATATCACAATAAAAACAAGACAAATGCCCTGTACATTCTCATTCAGAGACAAAAAACCTACCACATGAAAAAAGAAAAGTATCGATTTACGATCAAATCCTGATAAACGTATACAGCTAATGTCATTTTACTGAATTTAGTTCACAACTAAAATAACAGAAAAGGGGGATATACTGAACACCTAGGCATAATGAATTGACCTAGTACAATAAAAGGTTTATAATATTTTACATACCACAGACGTAGAGCCTAGACCAAAAGTAATGTAAAAAAAAAGTCGAACAGCGCTTTCGAATGACTCACATCGTAAAAAAATTCACCCTTTTTTAAGGAAAAAATATTTTAAAACACAAAACATCTATAAATGCTCACTTTGGTTTTGTTTGTCTTTTTGATTTCTAGTTTTCATTCCTTGGCTGTACGTATAATACATACGACTAGATTTATTATTCGTTTTGAAGTTTTTTATGTAATTAAATGTAAACTTGCAGAACGTACACTTGGCTTAAGCGGTTGCTTAAAGTACCAAAGACTTTGACCTGTCTTTAAAATAATGTACAATGACTCCAAATCCAACGAAAAACAAAACTAATATGCGCACAAAAAAGTGATTGAATACAATAACCAAAATTATTTGATTGCGGATATCATTTAAAACGTGTGTAAAATGGCACTAAAATATGTGAAAGTATTATGGACCCCGCCGTCGGAACATTTTCCGAAATCATAAGTATGATGTCAAACAAATCTAGAAACAAGTCCTAAAAACAAGTTGACATTGTGGATTTAAGATGGAAAATGCATTTTTATCAGTAAATAATAATGATGATAATAATTAGCTAGGCCCGTGATGGTGACAAATAGTTTGGGTCATCTTCTTCATAAACGTTATCCAGTTGAGTCCGATCACTATCCACTTTTGTTTCCTTGACCACTGGTATGTTATTCCGATACTGCCCAGTTCTGCTTACGGGTCGAGGGGGAAGTTTGGCATTCTCGGTCTCTTTTCTATTTGTACTAGCTTTGGCGGAATCTGATAGCCCAGACTTGTTTCCTGCTGATCCCCCACTTTGACTAGAATCACACTCTTCTTGTACAATGTCAACACTTCCTCTTTTGCTGCGCTGTCCTCTGGAACCAGGAGGCAAATTGCCGGCGTCGATGGAATTTTTCCGTCTCCCTGCTGGACCAAGGTTTACCACAGACCCGCGGCGTGACATATTCGCGTCGGATGTTTGACGTTCTAATTTCTTACCACGGGGTCCAGCAATTGACCTACGTCCAGTTGCGCTTCCCCGATCAGACATTGGTACTTCACCGTCGGAGAGTTGACTAGGGGGCGTGGCGGGACGAATGTATTGTCGCGGAGGAGGTGGTTTTATACTGTCCCTGTAAGAGGGAGAGCACTGGAACTGAAATTCGTGCAAAAGAGATTTCACTTCGCCTTTCCAGTTGCCATCTAGGGCTAGTCTTTGATAATGTCCTTGAAAACCGTCATAACCCTCCCCATACTGGGGTTGGAAGTCATTCATGTTTTCTTGACTGAAATAGTCCACGGCAGATAGTTTAAAAACGAATTCGGGGTTATTTCTCAAGTCTGACAAACTGGCACTGCGGATTAACATATCTGTTTTTTCTACATTGACTAGGAGTCCATTGTCAGGTGCATTCCGATTACCCCTTAAGCTCATCGCGGTGCTTGGTCTCCGGCGACGTAAAATTGGCGCAGATGACACGCGTAACGCGGTACTTGGTCTATGGCGTCTTACTTTGGGATTTATCACAAGTTTGTTCATTTTGGCTAAAACTTCAGTTTCCCACTCTTTAGCAGTTTTCCCCTCTACTTTGTCGGCGGTCTCCTGGTCTGCGTGCCCCTCGTCTACAAGAATTTGTGCACAGGTAACGCGACCAGTGCTCCATGCTTGTATGAGAGGAGTAAATCCACGTCGGTTGGGTTTGTCCACCGTCATTCCATATTTATGCAGTGTTCTTAACAGTAACCGTGTAATGTCAACGTTACCAACAGAAACTGCGTAATGTAACGCCGTATTTCCAAATTTATCTCCCTGATTTAGGTCGTAGTCAATTGCGCATAGAAAAACACGAACCAGTTCTAGACGTTGGTAAAGACAGGCGTAATGTAGAGCATTAAGTCCTCGCTTGTCACGAAAACCTACCGACGCTCCCTTTTCTAACAAGAGTCTCGAAAGACCAACTCCCCATTCCTCTTCCTCTATCATTGCACACAGAATCAATGGCGTTAAACCATCTTCGTCTTTTCCGTTCACATCGGACCCAAGCTCTATAAGGAAACGCACCTGTTGGAAAAAGCCTCTTTTGATGGCTGTATTGATGGTATAGTCCATTTTCCCTCCTTTACCAGTCATTTTTAAAAGTAGTTAAATCATGTACGTTATGGATTTTACCTCCAACTGGCTAAAATAACACGTGTCCCAGTTCATCTCAAATTAGGAGTCCACATATGATAATTCCTTGGTAACCCGTAGATAAAATGTCAACACACCACCAGATTGATTAAAAAGGTGACATGTCACCGTGTGAACATCTTTTAGAAGTACGAGTATCACTTGTAAATGTCAATCCCCTTGTGCTATGGGTGTCATAGCCTCAACCAGTAGGTCCCCAAACTGATGTAAATAGTCCGTTGTTGCTGAGTGTTAAGGTCTAATGAATACGCTGTACTTCACCCTGTTTGCTTTGCCACTCATTTCACTTGAATAATGGCAGAGCATGATGGAGTTTTGTTGACATACAAACACCGTCAATAGCAAAGCTTCATAAACGTTTTAACCTTCAACAGCCAATCGCGTTCGTCCTTACACGGCCTCAACTGCCACTAGTGCATCAATAAAAATTGAAAAGATAAATACAATTTTTTGTCAAGGGCTTTTCACCTGGTATTAATACCGGTAATACAGCTATGATTATCTGTTCAGGACGTAAATTCAAATGCGATAACTCCGTCAACTTTACCTATGGGAAAAACGCGTTATATCAACGGAAGCAACCAAACGCATTTATGTATCGCACTAATCCATCGTTGGAAAGATTGATTTTATTTTAGGTGCACAAAGGAAATGGGACATTCTACACTCTATGGTAAATAATAAAAGCCCAAATACAATGATAATTAATCGGAAGAGTAAATCTGAGCACCTGTCTTCTTTCTAATGGTCATTTCTTTGAACGCAAATCAATGAATCGCATTAGCCCTATCTTATTCAATAGATGTGAAAATGATATGACAACACGGGACAAATCCACATAACAAGAAACATACATTTAGAATTAATCCGGACCAGCAAAAGGGATGTAAATGTACTTCATAACTTTTCTGAAGCGTGACGATGAAAGTCAGAGGCAACTACCCAGGCAACATGGGGTTTCATGATAGTGACGACATGGAATAGATTTTCACACCTGGAAGAACCGTTATTGTAGTATGCGGTCTGAAAGCCACTTTGTCGTTCCGAATGCGTGGTAAATTGCATGTTAACTATTGATTCTTAATGATTAGTTAACCCAGAGGGTCGTTTGGAGTTTGAGCGTGGTAGTCGCTACCAGTCGCCACGAAGCAATAAATACCAATGGGCAGTTCTATGATCCCACATCACAGCGTGGTCTCCATTTAAAACCATCAGTAAAAACAAGCAAGAGTTTCTGGAAAATAAATTGACACGAAGATGTATTATATAATAATTAACGTTATGAGAAAATGAAGTATGATAATTATTGGATTGAATAGACGTTTCCCGGGGAGACTTGATGGATGAATGTTGGAAAAAACCCAGCGTCACACAACGTTAATAAAACGCGTTTGATTACTTTGAAAGTAGTGATGCACTGTTACTGTAACTTAACTTAAAAGAAAAAGTAACGTTAACATAATGTTGCTATAATGCTAGTTTAATAAAAAATATTTACGTCTTACTTTTAAGCAGTGAATCATAATGTTATTATAAAGTTAAAATACTCTAATATATATTATCTAAAGTTGAATTATAACATTGAAACATAATGAATCATACCTTTTTATAACTTTTTATGTAAGTTGGGATGAGGATGTTGACATCATTTACCAGTAGGCTTGTTCGCTTACTTCGTGAAACTCTCAGTGTTTATTTTTAAAATATTGTAAATTTTCTTGAAAACACCCGATTTATCATTATTCGACGTAATCTCTTAAGTCGCATTCCCAATGAAATTATCGTTCTACGTAAATCGATCCAATTCCGCGGCAGTTTGCAACCAGACTGACCAAGGAAATGCAACTGAAAGCTCATTGGATTAACTGAATGACGCCTAATCAAGCAGCTAGGGGGGAAAATGAACTTTCGTACGTGTGCATTCAAAAAACGAAGTGATAAAACTTCCAGAAGCCAAGTGCACGCGAAACGTAGTGGGCATTCATTTGAAGAGACCTAATTTAAGTTCTATATATATGCGTTAAGACAACGGAGGCTCTCTCTTTCTCTCTCACTCTCTCTCTCTCTCTCTTTTAAAATTAAAACGGTTTGTCATCAACTCAAAAGAAAAAAAACATCTAGTTTTACATGTAGGTTGGGGAAATTGGATGGAGGTTGTGTTTATGGATTTAAGAAAAAAATCACCTATGGACCATGAAGGTCCTACCCGGAAAATTTTCAGTTTGAAAAAACAAAAACCCACTTATTAGTCCTATTTACACTTGTGTTTTTGAAATCCCTAAATTCAGACCTACATAAATAGATGTTTGTATTGACAAGAAATAACAAAGATAAAAAAGTTAAGTCGAATTAGTGAGATATGAGCCCGATCAAAACCATTAAACTTCCAATGCCTATAAGTTACATGTATATCTTCGTGCAAAGAAAAAAAATGTGATGACGTAAAGTATACGCATGCGCAAGCTCTATTATGACGTCATACGTTGTTTACATCTACCATGTGCGATTTGCACATGATGAGGTACATTATGGGCACAACAATAACTTAGATATAACGCAGTACCATTCTAAAAGTTGGAATAATGATATCTAACAGCCAGAAGGGGAAAGGGTCAAAGAACAAAGAAAATGGAAAGAAAGAGCGAAAAGTAGGTGGATTTGATATCACATTTACCTTGTGTATGAGTTATTTCGAACGAGGTTTTTTGTCACCAAACTCTCTGTCCGTTTTAATATTATTGTGATTTTGCAGCTTTATTCCCGATTGTATGACAGTCGCATTTTGTTTATTTTAAATATATATATTTTTATATGACTAAACAATAACCCTCTTTTTTTGCAGATTCAGTTTGTTGAAGAAATTTTGATGGACAAGGACGACGGTGATGATAAAGGTTGGTGAATCTTGTATTGTTATTTTAGGCTCTTTTGGTATGAATTGTTCTCTATGAAAAGTTTGGATTTAAGACCAAGCGCTTTGAATTTGTCATCGTTTTCATTTTTGTAACGTGGTCCAAGTGGCGGTTTAGTGACATTACATTTATAGCAATATCGATTTGTCCGTACCACTACTACATGTACTATTACTGTATTAGAATAAGTATTTAGCATGTAATTCATTCTAAAAATTAGAATAAGAATTGCACAAAACATTAAAACACAAAACTTAATTATAACCTCTGATGAAATGCATGTTTATGGCTGACTCCCTTGACCAATATCCTTACAGTCTCTTGATAATTTTAATATTATTGAACACTCCAATAGGTGCAGTTAAGCCAGGATGGTATGAAGAATTGAGTGATGACCAGATAAGAATGTTTAAGGAGGTTTGTAACTTGAAAGAAGTGGGCAAATAAATAAGTGATAAAATGGTAGAATTATCATTTTTATAATTAAAGTACAGTATGTTGACAATAGAAAGATAAAAAACAATTTTAATAGAAATCACTGTTTACCTTTCAAATGGTAAGTAACATGCATCCATTATTTTGATATTTAGTTTCTTGGATGGGTATGATAAAATGTTTTATATTTTTCACTTTTAGAGTGACATATATCATTTTTTGTTCTGAATTCAGGTGTTTGATCTCTTGGACTCAGATCGAGGAGGAAGCTTAGATAGTAGGGAACTCTTCAAGTTGATGAGGGAACTGGACGTAGAATTATCTGAGGAAGAAATCAGCAGTGTTCTTAAAGAACTAGACAATGATGGCAGTGGTGAGATTGACTTTGATGAATTTCTGTACCATATGACTGCCACAGACCGCTATTTGGATATGCTGGCTGAAGGTACGTTAGCTTCATATTTTACTGGTGAGTGATTTTTAACAACACTGTGTTGTATGACATGAAATCTGTTAGACCATGCATGTTGTCTTTGTATGTACATGTACCTAATGAAAAATTCAAGAATAAAAGAAAAATATAAAACTCTAATTTTTATATGGTCAGCCATTTGGTGATTGGCTTTGTCTTATAACATATATATACCCAGCATATACAGTAAACATACATTACTGGAACTGCCCTCTTCTGCACTTCTATTAATTTTTTTTTTATAATGCAGATCCTGATAGAGCAAGGTTACAGAAAAGAGAAAAATATAGCAAACGTCAAAGTTTGTTTTTTTCTGCCATCACAAAATTTGCGCTGAAGAACTCAGTTGGAGAGATAACACGTTATTACGCTCAGAAAGCCAGGCAAGTACCACATGTTATCAGTCATTACACAGCCGGTGCCAGAGTAATTGGGCTGACGGACAGGCAGTTAGCACGGCATTTAAAAGACATGCAAGCCATTGCAAAGGACCAAGATTCACCCTATGCCAAACCTTTGTTATTCGTTGTCCCAGCTGGATCCTCTGCAAAGAAGCATAGTCCTGACATAGCTAAAAAGAAGCGAGATAAAATTCTTGAAGATGAAGACAAAGATGGGAAACATTTTAAGAAGGCTAAACTTAAGCTTACTTTTGCAACTGAGCAGATAGGATCCAAGGGTGCCATGCGTGCAAGGAGGACAGCTATTTACGCAGATAACGCGGATTTGACGGTGAATATGCTACATGCTTCATTGTATTAATTTAAAAATGTCTTAATTGTTCATCATAATGTTTATTATTTATTATTATAATTTTGTATAGCAGTAAGTTGTTTAGTTTATATTTACGATCCCTACTAGAATAAGTGACACTCTGAAGATACCCTAAAACTACCATTATTGAGTATTTAGAAGAAATAATTTATTGTAATTTATAGGCAGTCCGTACCATGGCAGAGAAGGGAAGTGTAGTTTGTATGCTGCCTGAGGTACATCTTTTACCACAGCTGAGCAGGCTTGGTAGGTGACTTTCTCTCAACTGTCTTGAGTTTTATCATTACAAGGCTGTTTTTTTTCTCAAGCTTTTTTCAAGTTTTTTTTATTAAAGTGAAAATTAAAAAAAAAAGGTTCTGATGTTGGTTGTGTTATTTGATTGTATGAATTTTAGTACTTATCTGTTTTTATCATCCTCATTATACCATGTATATATATTAAAAAAAAAAGTATAGGCTTGTATTACACAAAAATTTGCAAAATAAATTTTTNATTTAGCATGTAATTCATTCTAAAAATTAGAATAAGAATTGCACAAAACATTAAAACACAAAACTTAATTATAACCTCTGATGAAATGCATGTTTATGGCTGACTCCCTTGACCAATATCCTTACAGTCTCTTGATAATTTTAATATTATTGAACACTCCAATAGGTGCAGTTAAGCCAGGATGGTATGAAGAATTGAGTGATGACCAGATAAGAATGTTTAAGGAGGTTTGTAACTTGAAAGAAGTGGGCAAATAAATAAGTGATAAAATGGTAGAATTATCATTTTTATAATTAAAGTACAGTATGTTGACAATAGAAAGATAAAAAACAATTTTAATAGAAATCACTGTTTACCTTTCAAATGGTAAGTAACATGCATCCATTATTTTGATATTTAGTTTCTTGGATGGGTATGATAAAATGTTTTATATTTTTCACTTTTAGAGTGACATATATCATTTTTTGTTCTGAATTCAGGTGTTTGATCTCTTGGACTCAGATCGAGGAGGAAGCTTAGATAGTAGGGAACTCTTCAAGTTGATGAGGGAACTGGACGTAGAATTATCTGAGGAAGAAATCAGCAGTGTTCTTAAAGAACTAGACAATGATGGCAGTGGTGAGATTGACTTTGATGAATTTCTGTACCATATGACTGCCACAGACCGCTATTTGGATATGCTGGCTGAAGGTACGTTAGCTTCATATTTTACTGGTGAGTGATTTTTAACAACACTGTGTTGTATGACATGAAATCTGTTAGACCATGCATGTTGTCTTTGTATGTACATGTACCTAATGAAAAATTCAAGAATAAAAGAAAAATATAAAACTCTAATTTTTATATGGTCAGCCATTTGGTGATTGGCTTTGTCTTATAACATATATATACCCAGCATATACAGTAAACATACATTACTGGAACTGCCCTCTTCTGCACTTCTATTAATTTTTTTTTTATAATGCAGATCCTGATAGAGCAAGGTTACAGAAAAGAGAAAAATATAGCAAACGTCAAAGTTTGTTTTTTTCTGCCATCACAAAATTTGCGCTGAAGAACTCAGTTGGAGAGATAACACGTTATTACGCTCAGAAAGCCAGGCAAGTACCACATGTTATCAGTCATTACACAGCCGGTGCCAGAGTAATTGGGTTGACGGACAGGCAGTTAGCACGGCATTTAAAAGACATGCAAGCCATTGCAAAGGACCAAGATTCACCCTATGCCAAACCTTTGTTATTCGTTGTCCCAGCTGGATCCTCTGCAAAGAAGCATAGTCCTGACATAGCTAAAAAGAAGCGAGATAAAATTCTTGAAGATGAAGACAAAGATGGGAAACATTTTAAGAAGGCTAAACTTAAGCTTACTTTTGCAACTGAGCAGATAGGATCCAAGGGTGCCATGCGTGCAAGGAGGACAGCTATTTACGCAGATAACGCGGATTTGACGGTGAATATGCTACATGCTTCATTATATTAATTTAAAAATGTCTTAATTGTTCATCATAATGTTTATTATTTATTATTATAATTTTGTATAGCAGTAAGTTGTTTAGTTTATATTTACGATCCCTACTAGAATAAGTGACACTCTGAAGATACCCTAAAACTACCATTATTGAGTATTTAGAAGAAATAATTTATTGTAATTTATAGGCAGTCCGTACCATGGCAGAGAAGGGAAGTGTAGTTTGTATGCTGCCTGAGGTACATCTTTTACCACAGCTGAGCAGGCTTGGTAGGTGACTTTCTCTCAACTGTCTTGAGTTTTATCATTACAAGGCTGTTTTTTTTCTCAAGCTTTTTTCAAGTTTTTTTTATTTAAGTGAAAATTAAAAAAAAAAAAGGTTCTGATGTTGGTTGTGTTATTTGATTGTATGAATTTTAGTACTTATCTGTTTTTATCATCCTCACTATACCATGTATTTATATTAAAAAAAAAAGTTCAGGCTTGTATTACACAAAAATTTGCAAAATAAATTTTATATTTACTGATTTTCAGAAGCTACACAGACCTAACCTAATAATGTTATGGGCAGGTGTTATATTTAATGTCATCTTTCATCTTCTTGAGTTTGGGGTCAATCAGTACATTTTCAAGGGAGAAGCACCCATTAGATGCCGAAACTGAAAACTTTCTCTAATTCTGGAACTGTAAATGCTAGAGACCTCATGTTTGTTGCATTTTGTAGAGCTTTTCAAGCACAACACTGTAGGTGATGTCCCTGTTTTTGTTTTCCATATGAATGCGCTTACTCCAGCTGGTGGTACAATACCCATAGGCATATCACCTCTCTGATCCTCTACTTATCTAAAATTTTCAGCCAGTGCAGCAAATGGTGTTGATTTCCCTATTAGAAGTAGTACACGTAAACGTGATAATCGTCGCCCATCAATACCACCTCCTTTGACTGAATGTACTCCTAGCCCGCCATCATCACCTTCGACTGATGATCCTGTACATGAGACATCTAGGAGTAGCACCACCCCTACTGCAGGTATAGATAACTTTCCGATTCTCACTTCTTATCCCAATTGTCCAGGTTTACAATTAGCAAAATTGAAATTTTAAGCAAAATTAAGAAGGATATAGTTCAATTTAATATGAAGGATGTGGTTGAATTTAAAATCATTTCATTTCAAATTATAAATGCACCAAAGACAGGTAATGTACATAAAGAATATAAAGTATTTTCTGAACATGTTTAGTTTGGATTAATATCATCGAGAACAGTTGTATATTAGTAGGATTGCTGCATTAAATTTTCCTCTATTTGCTCATTTTTACAAATATCTCTTCTGGAATTTTTTTCAGGTTGCAAACCACATCGTGAACCCTCGAGAACATGCAGAGGTTGGACAGCTCCACCTATTGAGCGCAACCAGGTCCCTCTGCCCATTCTGCGTTTGAGTAAGAGGGAAATAAAAAATCCAACTATAGATGATTTGCCAAACATCAGGAAAAAGGTAACTTTTCTGTATTGTATATTTTAGATAACCTTTTATATTTTAGACATTTGTAAGTTAAAATTCTTGTTTTTTTTTGTTAAATTTGTTTCAAAACTAAGTTATGTTGGATCTGCTTAATGTAATATTTGAATTCAACTTCTTAACACAGGTATCCGTGTGTGTAAATAAATACTACTCAGCCCTGAGGAAGAAGCAAGTGCGAACTGCCTGGAAACAATGGGACACCATGAAGTCTGTAAACATACCTCAAGGTCATAGCTTTCGACAAGTATTTAGAGCATATTCCCCTCACACTGAGGAAGAGTGTTTTGTTATCTGCCCATGGATACCAGGACCCAGATACACTTCAAAAAGCCCAATTCAACAAGATTGGAGACCACTTAATGCCACAATGAATTAAATATTATGCTTTTGCAGGACTTGAAACCCCATGAATTCTACCACTCAACAATTTTTGCCTATTTATTTTAGTTGCAACATTTTAAAGTTGTTTTGCATTCCTTTGTGTACAGATAGATTATTCGTTAGAAATAAATTTTGAGACGTTTTGATTATAAAAGATGCAAGAAAAGATTATAAACAAAAATTTTCATTCATGGCATTCATAGTTTTTTATTCATTTACCTAAAACAAGAACAAGAAATAATTTAAAAGAAACCAAAAGACAAAGGTTTAACAACATCATTTAAAAATATTCTTCAACCTGAACATGGAATGGTCTTTAGAACCAATTAATGTTTTAGAAATTGTAATATGACATAATTTTACATAACAACGTTGAAATATAACATCCAAAATTGTATAATTTTACAACTGCAGTCCTGAGAAACCACAAGAATGTTTTAAGTATAATTTTTTTACATCTAAGAAGTATAGATTCTTTTCTATTGCATAGTACTGCAAATCTTGAGTTCAGGCTATATATTCTCAACTCAGATCATGTCTTCTCGGCGTCTTCGCTGTGAAAGTTATCATAAAATCCTTTAAATGCTCTACAAGGAAATCCATTTAACAGCAACTGAGAAAAGTAATGTTCCATTTATATAATTGAAGTTTAACTATATATAGATATCTCTATTTATTTTGCATTCACTGCCCAGTCATATGGCCAGTAGGATATTTTAAATGATTTCTCTGCAAGAAGTTCTGCAATTTGAGATTTCTTGTCCCCTTCTCTTAAATGTTCATGGACCCACAGCAAAACCTACAACATGCAAAGTAAAAGAATAATTTAACTTACAGTACACAAGAGAACATTAACACTGCTAAATATGATTTAAACTAACACTGTTAAATGGTCTCAATTGTAAGTCCAGTAGAAAATTTTACTGCCATAAAACATAGCTGGTAACTAATCTACACAATATAATTAAATGTTGTGTAAAACGTCACCACATAAAAGTATCCTGATTAATAACCATTAAGTGTCTTAAACATGCCATTTAAATACCTCTTCGTCATTTGATCCGAAATCTTCCCCATACCACTTCAGAATTTTGGACAACTTGACATGATGGTTTTCCATGTCTACTGAACACCCATCATCGCCCTCCAAGAAAGACTTTGCTGCCAAGTTCAGTTGGTCATAAATGCGCTGCAACAGAAAAATAAAAATACCCATATCACCATCCTATCAAACACCAGCATAAATTGTAGGTTTCACATTTTGTATTATAAAATCTATTGTTAATATAATATTTAAAAATATTAAAAAATATTTTCATGTTTCTTAAAATTTTTCAGCGTGTACATGGAAGAAATATGAAGACATGAAATGTATGCATAATAACAGTAACACTGGGGTGTCTCTTGAACAAAAAATTACCTCAGACGTATAGGTCTTAATTGGTGGACAGCTTTTTGCTCCACACACCAAGGCAAAGTGGATAAGTGGTTCATGCTTTTGTAAGGCCACTTTCAAGCGGGGATCACTTTTTCCAAATGGCTTAAATAGCATACCTAGAAGAAAGTTAAAGAAAAGCACTTGCATTACTAAATGTCTTGTCATGTCTGAGATTCTGGTAAGATAATATGATTGGTTTACAATGTACTTGCATGTTATTACCATTGGATAATGTCCATTAAATTTTTGGGCAGAGCCCATTTTAGTATCCTGTATTATATAAAGCTCATTTTTACAAGTTGTACTTATGAAATATTTCATGCATAATGAAACACAATTTCTGTATTAATGAAATATTTCATACATGATCTCTCATTAGCCACATTTTTTCCTATTCAAAACAAGCAACAATGTTACTTGGACTTACCAATACCCTTCCTATTAGCTCTTAGAATACCATTTTCAATGTCTTGAAGAGAGTAGGAATAACCACCAATAATGTATCGTACCTTGTTAAAAAACTGAAACGAGTATCAAGATATACTAGTATTGAACTGCTCAAGGAACACAAAATCTGGGAGTAATTGTATGTGTATGGGGCATGTGCTTTTATTTTAAAGTGCAGGGTAAACACTTTCCATTTCTGCACCGCCCTCTGTCTACACATTCTCCCCCCAATGTTGTTATTATTAATATCAAATTTTTATTTTGGGTGGGTGGGTGGGTTAAAAAGTATCTTAATGTGTTTGTACGACTATCCACATAACTTTTTTAATTCATGATGTTCCAGGCTTACCTTGTATCTCTGCCAAATGTTGACAGCTGGCCCATTTTTCACAGTGGCATGAATGACCAAAGCGTTGTAGATATTGATGAAGAAGGCAATCTTTTCTTCTCGACTAGCATCCTCTATCTGAACCCTTTGTAGGTCTCTGGTCATCTCAAGATACTTCTGAAAGTCCTCACTTTGACCAATGCCCTTGTAATCAACTGCCTAATAGATGACAGACTTATCAATACACAAACACACACACATAAATATATGTTCATGTTTGAGTTGTAACAAGTAATATAAATTTTGTTCAAACCTAGTTATTGAAAATCGTTGTTAACAACAATACACGTACATGTAAAAAATAACTAGTATAAGTACCAGGCACCGGTTTCACATAAAAACCTGAAGCCCAAAAAATTGTTCTAAACTTTTTGTCAAAAATTAATTCTACTTCATTTCAAGAAACATTCAAAGTAGTTAAATTAAAGTGCTGGCCTGAGACTCAAGTTCCTATTTAAAAAATTGTGATGGGGGGGGGGTATTGATCTTGGTATGCAAAAAGTTTGAAAATCAAGACTCATGGTAGTCAGCCCCCAGGTAAAAGCAGATGCAATATTCCTCTTTCCATGTTACTAATACTAATTTATCCCAGGTCAAAGTGGACTTAAGTTTTGGTCTTTTGGGCTTCTGTTTTATTATGCAAAGCAGGCCCCAGGATTAGATTTGCAGCTCTACATCATACACACCTTGCCATCTTCAGACAAGAAACTGCCATACAGCTTCAGTATCAACTTTCTCAGATCTCTGGCCAATTCCACCGCTGAAGTAAAAGATGAGAAACTTCCTTGTTTAGCAAGTTTTGCCTAGTAGGTTTATATTCCAGAAACCTTCACTAATTTATATTATGTGCATTCAAATTTATCACTTTATTAATTGCTACTTGTTAATTTATGTAAGCATCACTTTCTGGCATTGTTGGCTAGAGTTACAATGCCTCCTAACACTTCTCCATTTAGTTTTCTGTATCTACTAGTTAAACCTACATGTGGCAGCAGTAACATGTAGTGGATGCCATCTTGATCAAGGTCTAGTGAATCGACTGCTAAATAGACAGCTGAATAGACCGAAAGCTTGCTTCCATGGATATAATTATTCATGGATATAAATTGAACTTTAATGATTAAAATTTAGATGTAAATTTGCAACTGTTTTGTTCAATTTTGAATTTGATAAAAACCAAACATTATTTTACTTCATTGTCATTTGCACTTCGAGTTAGTGGTTATGGGTTTAAAGGCCTATTCCAAATGAAATTATTTTTCTACTGAAATTGACCCAACTACATGGGCACTCTTGCTGAATGCAATGAGATAAACATGCCTCCTCGTTTCCTATGTAGACTCAATAGGTTTTCCTTGTATTCTATTTAATGCGGAAAGGAGGGATGTTCATCTGATTGCATTCAGGGAGACCCCCCACAAAGTTGGATCAATCTACATAGAACGATAGTCTCATTTGGGAATGGGCCTTAGGTTTAAAGGAAGGGCTGATATGGTTAATTCTGTGAATTGGGTGAAGGTCAGTTATGTCAATGTACCCGCCATCATCCTCCTAGCTGAAATTAAGGCACTCCGCAAGCACTGGCCAACTAGGAAATGTGACTGGCTCATAAGAACCACACTGGAACACACAATTCAAATGATACATATTTTAAGGATAACAACTGTTCATTTTAGCTCAAAAATGAAATTTTCCTAGGGTTAATGACCCTTTTCCCATACTTAATGAATTAAACTCTACATTTAAAGTTAGTTCCCCTTTTCTTTTCCAAAACTTTTTTTTAAAAAAATTTTTTAGAGATTATGTGAGTATAGCCATTTATGGAGCTTTATCTTTTTTTGAAGAACTTTAAGAAATTATAGAGTATAGCCATCTAAGGGGGTCGCGTGGTCCTATGGCAAGCACAGATTTCTCAATAATTGCTAAAACTGCAGTTTATTTGAGGTAAAATGGAATATATTTCTACGAGTTGTTTACAGTGTTTTGACTGTAATGTAGAGTTATCACTCAAATGTAGTTTTAGGAAAAGAGACCAGCTTAGTTTTATCTCAGTAAACCAAAAACATCAATTTAAGAAACTGAATTAATAGATGTGAGAACTGACACAAATTTAAGTAATAAAATAAGTTTATTTTTATTATCCTACATACAACCAGTGCACCACTCATGGAACATGTCAGCTTATCAAATTGCATCGTTTAGCACAAAAACTACAGAATATTCTGTGTGAAAAAAGGGTAAAACATGAATGCAAAACAAACAAAATATCATGAACATACAAATAGCACACTACACCTATGTACAAATATGTACATTATTAAAACTAACAGTATTAACTTGGCACAAAATAAAATCTATTCAACTAGCTTCATTGCACAAATACCTGCAATGACTGGACTTCCCATACTACTGAAAATGAAATCAAATCATTTGTCTCACAATCTTTCCTTACTTTAATTCCATAACTGTTAAAACTACCAAATTTGATAGCTTGTTAATAAAGGCTGTTCAAACAATTACAAGGAGAAAATGACCACACATTACCTTTCTTCCACAACAATGACAGAAATACAAATCAATATGAAACCTTGTTGAAATAAGTAGACTTGACACCACTCAAAAGTGTATATGTGATATGAAAATTCAAAATAATTTGCATCAACACAAGAATGGAAAATATAGCAAAGTACTTATACATTTTAAATTGTTAAATAAGCTTGTAATACCAAAACTGAAATCTAAAACAGCAAATGAATCTACTCTTCAAACTAGAAATATTTCAATTTTATCAAGCCCAAAAGGCCCAATATGTTTAAGGTCACCAAAAAAAAGATGCTCCTGTAAAAACATATCTTCACAATACTTAAAATATACTGTCATTCCAAAGCAATATTAAAACGTTTACTGTCAAGTAAAATACTTAAAATGTACAATGAAACTTTTTTCTGGAACTTGAACCACTTGCTTCTTTTCCAGACAATGTGTGCAGCTGCACAGACTTCACCATAATACCCTCCTCCCTTTGTAAAAGAATTTACAATCAACAGATCTCAAGGGGGAAGTAACAGATTACTTAAGATAATCCCACAGAAGTCATCTGCTTATATAATAGTTCTAGGTACCGACAGCAAGCATGTCACGAAACATGAAAACCTGCTAAGTTAACAGGGCCAAAAAAGTCATTATCAAGGCCCGTTTTCAGTATTAAATTTAATAGTAAACCCCTGCATTTTATATCAGAAAGGGCAGGTGTTGCTCTTTCAAACCCTATAGAACAAAGCTAGATTTGACATAATAAAAAACGTTCTCTAATAAGAGTTAATAAAAACAGTTTAGTACAGCTGCTGACAGCAGTAACAGTTCACTATCTTTCTCGTCCGTATCAGTTCTTCACTTATCAATTCTTCACTTTCACTTCCTCACCATTGTACAGGGCGCAGTATTTGATAGTGTGTGCAGTGTCCCCTGTCTTTCCACACAGGGGACACTTGTATGCCCTGAGAATTGGGCAGGTAACTCTAAAGCCGTCTCGTAGGACGTGAGACCGGTAGATTATGGGCTCTTCTCCATTGTTTCTGCAAAACACGCAGACGCGAGTGGGTGTCTTGGTCTTGCCGTGTCTTCTCTTCCTGAGAAGTCTGGCCAAGGGTGTATTGCCATTCACCGTCTCCTCGGAAATACGGACTGATTGCAGTAGTTCTTGCACTTCGTCGACTGCAAGGCTGTCCTGAGGGGGGATTGCTGTCATTGGGGTGAAAGGCAGAAATCCAGTCTGCAAATTTTCTAAACCCCTTAAAAAAATCAAAATATAACACTTTAAGAAAACATCCACAATGCAAGAAATGCACAAATTACCAGACTATATCTGACTCGAGGTTAACCGCAAAATTATACCAAAATTCTTATCAAAAAATTATTGTAATGCGCAATTAAAATCGGATGAAGTGCAATGTTTTACCCATTCAAGTCCTGGAAACGCGGCAGGTTCAAGATATAGTCAACATCGAGAAGCCTTGGGTCGGTGCAATAATTTGAATTCAGGTCGTATGCCATTGTGGATCTTATCTGTTGCTGTTGAAGCCCTCTAAATGACCCTCTCTGTGAAAATGACAACGACTTGTTGTTTCCTCCACGTGCTGAGACTGGGCCTTGATTGGTCCATCTGCTCTGAGACAGCGCGTGGTGGCAGCAAATTCATGTTTCACTTTTGATTGACAGTCTGGCTGAAAACGATGTCAGACTGGATGGAGCCAAACTTGATCCTACTTCCTAGATCAGAGAAGCCGCCACAGACAATTTTGATACAATGTTACTGATCGTCCCTCGTACATTTACGCGACTATAAAACATCTGCTATATTATCATTGTTTATCGTCTACCGCCAAAGCAATTATCCAACGAGAAGAGTGATGAGACCTGGGCATTTCAATACGAAAACAAACATAGTTAAAAAATTGAACAAAATGTAACAGAAATTTGCAGCTCCACCACGAAACCGTTTTCAGAAAAAAATACGTCTTCCCACAGCCAGTAATGTTTCTATGTGCAATGTTGTCTACGAATGGCGTTCGAAAAATTACAAGTTTTATGCGATGTCTAATTTTCTTTATTCTTCGTGACAAAAATACTGATGCAATTTTTTTTACTAAAACAACTTAACTACTTGTTTATTATAGTAGATCTAATCGAACTGCTAGGCCTCCAGCTAAGCGTAAGTTAGTAGGCTGGCGAGGTGCCACTTGTTCAGCTTCATTGTTTAGAAGTAGGGAGGTCAGGTCAACTTTGATAGTAACATAAATGTCAGCCAAAATGATCTTACCTCAGAGAAATTCATGAGCTTTCCAAAACATTTTATTTTTTGAAAATCAAGCAAGCCAATCAAAAGTTTTAAATTAAAAGAATGCTAGTCGGCCACAAAATTTTGAAAAAGTCTTGTATGCAAGCATAGGTAACAGTGGAAGCCAAAAGTGTCACCTAATTGCCCAAACAATTAAACAAAATTGGCATAACTTTTGAATGGGGTAAAATATCCATTTGAAATTTTCTGTAAAGTTACACTATGCCAAGAAGAATCTGACAAGATATAATTTTCTGTAATTTATCCATTATTTCCATGGCAACTGTTGCTAAATATCAATAGCGATCAATACTATTTTTATGTACAGACACAGATGTGTCTGTACATATTGCCATCACCTGCGTCTGTCGTCGCCGTCGCCGAGCACTTTCAACGTTAACACCATAAGTGGAAGACAGTTTTACTTTTTGGCTTTATATTTACAGAGCTGATGAATATTCATAAAACGCAGGTCAAGTTCGAAAATCAGCATGATCGGGCCATTATTGTAGAATTTATGCTGTTTTTTTCACTTTTCAGCATATATGCAACACTGTTAACACATTTCAAGGAAAACTGATAGGCCTGTTGTCATGAAACTCACAGGAGTAATCAATCTTACTAAAACACAGGTCAAGTTCGAAAATCGGCATGATCGGACCATTATTTTATAAGTTATGCTGTTTTTTCACTTTTCAGCATATATGCAAAACTGTTAACACATTTCAAGGAAAACCCATAGGCCTGTTGTCATGAAACTC